GTTTAGCTCCAACTTGCCTCAACACACCTGCCTTCAAGTTTCTAGTATGCCTAGTAAGAGCTTGATTAGCTGGATCAGGTGTGTTTAATTGGGGCTGCAGCTACACTCTGTAGGACACCGGCCTTCCAGGACCGAGTTTGGGCACCCCTGGATTAGACCATCAGAGCCATGTGAACTCCCGTGTTAGGCTGTAACGCTGTTTTTTTTTTTTTTTTATTATTATAATTTTGTCATGTTAGTTTGTGGTACGTCAGACGCGGGTAGACGGATTAGCCATTGAGCTGCATGAGGGCATACTGAAGACTAGGGTTGAGTTTATTTAGTTGATTTCCTAGTCTATAATACAACAGATTAAATACAACACAGCAATAATATACACAATGGCCTGAAGAAAATGGGTGTTCATTCAAAGAAGGTTTTCCTATGAATTAATTAGTAGAAAAGTCCATTTCTCCTGTGCATTTGTGTCCCTTTGTTTCTGGAGAATGCAGCTAAGTAGTCGGCTCGCATTCCACAAGGTTGTAAATGTATCGGGTTACCATGAAACCAGGGTCTTGTTCTGGCGTCCTGGGGTGTTACAAAGTATTTGTGAAATCTAGCTAACAAAATATATATTGTGTGTTGGAGTGGTCCAGACGCTACATTAGGTACGGGACAGCTCTTAATTTCTTCTGGCATTATAGTGCTGTCTATTTGGCTTTGGTCCGTTTACGTCATCTGCCTCTGGTCTGTGCATTTAAGGGGACTTGGTAAGTGAGAACGGCAATTTCATTTAAGCTTTGAGAAAAGCAATGAAATGAGTATAGTGAAGTTTAGAGAAAATAGATAAGTTACAGGATTTTTTGGCTGCTCCTACTGTAGAGAAATTGAATGGACTTACAAAAGATCAATTGAGTAAAGTAGTTGAGCATTTTAATTTTGAGGTAGCGGGAAATCAAACTCTGTTATCTTGTAAAAGAGAAATTAGTAGAGAGAATGATTTTAACTGTAGATACACAATCTGAAGAAACGTTGTCACCAGAAGGTACTTAAACTCCACTTGTTATGACAGGAGTACAGAGCGGGTTAACCTTTGGGCAACAGCTAGAAAGCTTAAATCTGCAGAGTAAGGAGCGAGAATTCGATGGACAGCTTGAATTAGAAAAAATGCAGGTTCAAGAATGAGCGTGTACGGCAATTTGAGAAGTTTAAGTGTGAGGAGCGGGCACTTGAGGGTGCTCTGGAATGTGCTTACGAGGAGCCGACACTGGAGCGAGCTCTGGGGCTGGAGCCGACACTGGGAAGAACTGGGGGGCTGGAGCCGACACTGGGAAGAACTGGGGATCCAGGAGCCTTCCCTGGGCTTGCCGGGGAAACGGGAGCCCTCCCTGGACTTGCCGGGGAAACGGGAGCCCTCCCTGGGCTATACTCGGCAACCGGGAGCCCTCCCTGGGCTGAACTTGGGATCAGGGTAGCGCTTTCGAGGAGCTGGCACTGGAGTGAGTTTTGGGACTGGAGCAAGCTCTGGAAAGCGCTTACGAGGAGCAGGCACTGGGGCTGGAACTGACACTGGGGCCTCATGAACGCATGGCGAGCTTGCCACATTAACGTCCGGCGGGCTTGCCTGAGGAACGGCCAGCTTACTTGACTCAAGAACAGCCGGCAGATGGGTCCCGGATCGGAAGCTCTCCAGACACCGGTTGGCTGCCTCCTTCCAGCTGAGGTTGGTGGTGTCTTGGAGCTCCACGGGACAATGGTAGGTTATCCCGATCCGGAACAGCGTCACGAGGGCTTCTCCCTCGAGGGAGCTGGCGAGGGCAAGCAGCACGAACGCCCTCGCATAACTGACAGGGTCGGGGTTCGCCTGAGCCACGGCGATGAATAACACTCGTTCCTCCATTTGAATGGAGAGAAACAAACGGGGGGGGGAAACAAAAAAACTATTCAAACAGCAAAAAACAAACACGGTAGAAGGGGCACCGCTTACTGTCACTTTGGGTCCGGAATTCTGTCACGGGTTGTTACGGTGCAGGAACACGGAACGAGGAGACCAGGAGTACAAAACAAAGGGGTTTACTATTCTCTTCAGGGAATCACGCATAGCACAAGGAGGGGACATAAATGATTCCAGACAAAGAAACTCAGAACGGGCCTCACTATAAATACACAGACGCCAATGGGACACACCTGGGAGCAAATTAACTAATTAAACAAACAGAGCTGGAACCAAATTCATACAACGAGGACAGGAACAGGAAGGACCAAATAAGGAAAACAGGAACTAAACGGGAACATACACGTGACAATGTGTCAGATATAAAATGTTAAATAACTTATTAAATTACTTAGTAATTACTGAGTGGTTAAGGTGTTTTTCACTTTAAAATAATGGTCCAGATCACTAGTAGTTCCTGCAGGCTGACAGGGATATATCCAGCTGCAGACCCGCAGCACCAGCAGTTTCAGAACCGCAGTCACAGAAAAAGCCACAGAACCGGAAGTGAGGGGCGGAGTTATTGACGACGAGAGAGCACGGTGAGTATTCTGTAATGTTTTTGCTATCATATGTTTGATAATTATCGTATATATTACGTTAAGCATTTATCTGCTAAGAACTTAATGTGTGCTTGGCTTTATTATCTTATATTGAAACTTGAATTTGTTGTCATACTTTATAGTATATAACTTTTTTCTGTGGCTGTTTCGATTAATTTTCGGATGCATGCTGTAAATGGGCCTTGTGGTGAAGTTTTGAAGACGTTTATTATTCATAAAAATATAGTAATTAGTATAGTAATTAGTATAGTACTATTAGTACTATAGTACTATTAGTATAGTAATAATAGTTTGCTTTAATTCCATCTGTTATATACATTGTTTGTGTGTTAATATTACCTTGTAGTTTAGTTATTTTAATCCAATTTGTCATCATTGAGATAATTGTGTGTGGCTTCATCTCTTGTAGAGACATATAAGGATTCAGAGAGGTGACACATTACCTGAGCTGCAGCAGTGCAACAAGTGTTACAGAAACTACCAGCAATCTTGGTTCTGCTTGACCAGCATGTTTAAGCCAGCCAAACTGGTCAAATTAAAAAGTCTTCAAATCCACTTCAACATGCAGTTGTCTGTGGAAGTATGCATATCTTGAGTTGTTTGTTTAGGGGCCAGTGGAAGAGCCTCTTTTCCTTATAATGGAGGAAGAGGACAAGGAAAAGGCCCTCAACAATCTCCTGGAACAGAAGTTTCCAGAGTTAGCTTCATATTTCATCTTGTGCACAGGGGAGTTATTCATGCAGGATTGTCATGACAAAATGGGCTTAATAGTGAATTGTTCATTTTATAAAATTCAATTTAATTATTGTGTACATTTTGATTGTTACTTTTAAAATTATGCTGCTGTTTGTGTTTGTATGTTTTATTGAAATGTTTTAGTATTCATATAGAAAAATGTATGTTCTTGACTTTGGAGTAAACATTTATTTTGAATCTTGTGATTAAAATATATTTCATATAAAATGCCCAGAAGTTTCAAACATTATTTTTAATATCACAAACAGGAAATTACTCTCATAATACAATGAAATGAATAACTGTATAGGTCTACAACTAAATTACACAATAGTAAAGTTTCTAAAATGCATACATGCATAAAGTATGACGTAGCGTGTGTACTAAAAGCAAATTACCCCTTAAAAACCGTAAGGTAGCGCTACTATGTTTAAAAAAAAATGTAAGCTCCTCCCCTCACTTCCGGTTCTGTGGCTGTGGTTCTGAAACTGCTGGTGCATTGAGTAATTAGTGAGGGGCTAATGTATTTTTCACTTTAAAGCGCTACTAAGGAACAGTGCTCATAATTGTGAACCAATTCAATCATGAGCTTGTCAGCATCACTTCCTAATGATTAAAATGTTTAAGTGAATTATCATTTTTATTATTATTCTATGTTTAAGTTTGAAATAAACAGAGAACATCCATCCTTTGGTAAGAGTAGTATATAGTCACAATTTTAAAATGCAGCCAAATTATTTGGGGGATATCAATTTAATAAATTAGTTTCCACAAAGAACCCAGTTGTTCACTTTTAAGACGTTACTGTTGTGATTAGTAATTAATTGGTTATTCTTTATTAACTGGTCATAGTTCGCAAGTAGTTCTCAATGAGGATATTTTTATTTAATAATTATCACATATCTAATAAGGAACTACCTTTGTCCTAAATTTGCTACTACTTGCTTAGTTGATCTTGCTTCTCTATTAGTTAATAGTATTAAGTTAAGTGTTTAATGTAGTACTTCCTATTACTTCCTGCATAGTTACTTGTTAACAACGGACCATTATTCTAAAGTGTTACCTTCGTTTCTCTTGGGATTTACTGTTAAAGACTGTGTATTGGATTACCCTTTTGTCATGCGCTCCTTATACTTGCATTGCATGTTACAGTCAAAATGAGATGACAGTAGACCACAAAAGGGTTGATAAAAGGTTGTTTTTTCAGCTATTGCATTCAGATTTATTCATTTCACAATAGCTTTTATTGTACAAGGCTTATGAGTACTGTATGAAACTTATGTTGTACTGTAACTCTTGAATTTCTGTTCAGATCCAAAATGTACAATTATCAGAACAGAAAAGCCTATATCTAATAATATATATGACAATAAACTGCAGAAAAAGCACTGTAGTTAACACTAATCATAAGTGTTTCAGCTGTGTCATGCTCAAATCTGGTACAAAGCCAGGTCCGGTCACAGAAGTTACTGAAATGCCAACACCCAGACTCAGAAGGTCTCATGGATATGAATAAAATAAAACAGAATACAGTAACATTTATTTGAGCATAGACCATTTACGTACATATACCAGTGCTGAGAAATGGCTTGAGAACCTCCTCTTTGCATTGTGTGAAATGTTTTTGTAGCAAATTCAAACAGCCAGGATTTGTTTGAACATGCACACTGTAGTTATTCAGGTTTCCTGATTTTGCTTTCTCGTGAAATGAAACTTAAGGTAGACTTTAAATGTGATTGGACAGCGGAAGATCATGTAAGCAATGTCTCACAATGCTTGACCTCATTTAGCAGATATTTAATGAAAGCAAGACGGTTCGTAAGTCTTCAGTAAGAACCTTCATGAATTGTGTTCATCCTGCTTTGTTGTTTTAAAGAGTTTCCAGCAAGAAAATGATCATGTATATTTTATGGACATTGCTGTTTTTCCATGTGTCAGCACAGCGTTGGACTCTGTTTGGTTAGTAGCCTATATACTACTGTTTTAAAATTATGTAATGTCATTTGCATTTGCACTTTCTTTATAAACATTACACAAAAATGCATGTGTCTACAAATATAAGACTATAGTACTACTTTAGGGATTGGCGCTGAAGTCTGCAGGAATGTGGATCTCCAGGACCGACATTGGCCAGTCCTGGAGAGCCACAGTCCTACAGACTTCAGCGCCAACCATAATCAAACATACATAAAAAAGCTAATAAAGGTCTAAGGGTTACAAAAAAGCGACATGCAAGTGAGTTTTTAACGAGGTTGGAGCACAAATCTTTACGACTGTTGCTCTCCAAGACCAGCATTGGCCTGTACTATCTCTTTTAAATCTTGGCAAAGCTGTTTATCTTAAATATAGCCTTCATTGTTTCACAGATTGTTAGACATGGGCTTTCTTGTTTATGAACCCTCTAAATAAACGAGCTTATTGATTTCAACAGATGAAGAGTCAAAGCCTAAACGTGAGGGCAGAGTGCGATTGGTGGGGGATCTGCCGTCATCTGGTCGTGTGGAGGTCTACCATGATGGACAGTGGGGTACAGTCTGTGATGACGGATGGGAACTGGCTGAAGCGCAAGTGGTGTGTCGTCAGCTGGGTTTTCCTGGAGCGATATCAGTTACGCCTGGAGGACAATATGGAGAAGGTATAAACACATTAGTGTGGGGAAGAGAATTTAAATGTTTAAATGTTAAATTTAAAAGTCTTAGTTTTGACCCGTGTTCTATTATACTTTTTAGGTTCTGGTCCAATCTGGCTGGATGATATGAACTGTAAAGGCTTGGAGAGCTCATTGTCTGAATGCTGCTTCAAAGGCTGGGGTGTTACT